ATAATATATATTATAATCGTATGAGGAAGTAGCTGATCCCATTAAATACTGTCTGATGAGTGCGTAGCACGAAACTCGGAGTTACAGCAAAATCTTGCCTCTTTGATATCATACAGCCTTTTGCAAAAATTATGAGAATTGTCTAAATATCTAAATATCATAATATCCATATCCACATATTGTCCGGAACACGCGTGTTTGCTAGAATAATTCATTGTTGACATCGAGAAAATGTTCAGAACTACGGATAAGTACGTCGCCAAAAAAAAACTAAACAACAAAGACAAGGGACTAATAAGGGCATCGCGTGGGATCATGCACTTGATATTATGATATTTTGATATTTCAACAATTCTCATAATTTTTGCAAAAGGCTGTATATATAATATATATTATATATAATAATATAATAAGCATGCTATTTTATAAGGCAATTATTTTCTAGTGACTCAGTTATATTTTAAGTCAACAACAAAAAAACTATTTGAATTTATCAATACTCAAGATCGTATTTAAAACCCCCCAAATTTTTCTCAACCTATGGGTGGTATTTTGCATATGAAATGCAGACTTTCTAACGATTACCTTGTGGTTTGAATTCTTCATACAAAATCTTTGCAGTGTCTTTGACCCACATTCCACCTGTTACGGCGATGTATCTATTTCCTTGCAAGAAAATAATGTTTATTTAATAAACATATTGAAGATTAGTTTAAACCAAAAGAATCTTAGTTGCAGGAGAATTYAATACCTGGAGCTTTGGGTGCTGTTAGTGCTGATATGTGGGCTTTAGCAACATCTCTCACATCAACAATACCATAATGGAGTCTGGGAAGCATAATCATCCGATGTTCTAACAACCTTTTAGGAATCTAATTGGAACATGACCAGCTTTAAAATAATCTATTTTTTGTTGGAACAAGACCATCAACACAATGTAATATAGCAGGACATAAAATTAGACAAAATTGGACAAATCAGTGTAAAATCCTTTGTTGTCTATTGTTTATAAACTAAATATAATTTTAGTGAAATTTTCTAATGAGTGCACTAGCCCTAGGGATCACCCATATACAGCCCGCTGAATTTATAACATAAGCTATTTTATAATTCAATTCATTGACCCCACATTCTCTGCTGAATATCTTTAATCGGTCCACAGCTTTAAGTTTCAATCGGTATCTATCATATATACAACCCTATAAATAACAAAGAAAACCTTAGATGAATTGGGAATTAATACACATTACCTCCATACTTGTACATGAGGAACCCTGTAAAACAGGTCCATACACTAAACCTGGATTGATCACAACCAATTCAAATTGCTTTTCATCTATAAAGAAAATACAAACTGGYTATGTAAATGTCTTGTGTAACCCTAAGGATGATATTGTATAAAAAAGACAGACAATTTTACACTCAAAATTCTTTTTTTTAGTATAATTTTTTATTTATTTTAGTATAGGTCTAGTATAATTATATCTTCTAAATTTTTCTAAGCATGCATGAAATGGAACTTGTTAAACAAAAAACAACAGCTTTGAACAGACTGGTTATCACTTAATTAATACAGAGGGGCAGATTGAATTGAGTCATCTAGTGTGCCAGTGTATTCATATCACAGTGGTCCTGATCATGCTAAATCTATGTTGAATATCAAATGGATCCAAGATCACATAAAAGCAGACTTGCTTTCTACCTTTCAAGGTATCAAAGGGAATTGTGCAAAGAAAAGAGACCATTAAAATTCAACTTTTCAAACCTGGTAATTTTTTTACAAAGTCCCAAGCAGCCTTCTCAGCTAGCAGTTTACTCTTTTCATAAGCTGAACATTGGTCTTCAACAGACCAGTTTTCTTCATTAAACTCATCTTTAGTAGTATGATCAGCAGCTGCAAYAAATTAAGAAAAACATTAATATTTGGCTCTAATGGTCATGCTGTACTGAGTGTTGATGTGGCCGYACTCGGTCAATATAAATTAATGTAATTTAGAATAAAATAGGGTAACACCTTTAATTACAGCCAGAGCTCCAAGAGTTCAATTAAAAGAAAATGTTTACTGGATCAACTGCTATTTCAAGGATAGGCTGTTAGAGGCAGACAATTACTTTGAATTTTATATGCAATTGAACTGATGGCAGTCAAATTTTTCCCTTATGAAAAGTAAAATAAATTAAGTAAAATGAAGTAAAATAAAATTTTACATTGAATCCTTAGAAACATCCAAAACTAGAACTAAAAACATGACTTGTGTGAACACAAAATAGTTGATATAACCTTTAATGTGTAATGAAATTTTGTAAGAAGAATTGTCTCATAGTTTTTTTTCCCCCACAAACACAATGTATAGTGTACATTTCTTTAGTACCATAGCGTCGGAATATTCAAAGCTCATTAAAAATTTGAGAACAAACTTTATGACCAAATTTGGAAAATTCCGCTGTTGGATAAGAGATATAAGGCCCGTTCTAGTTGGCTAGGGTATATTGAATTGTTCCAAATAAGGACTGAATGAGATGCAAATTAGATTTGAATGTTCCAACATGTTCTACAATTTTATTATTGTAAATCATGCTCTTACACCAACTGACAGCAGCAATAGAGCTTGTTAGGACAACTCTCCTGACATTAGCCTTGGCACATGCTTCTAATACATTGAGTGTCCCCTCAACAGCAGGCTCGATGATTTCAGTTTCATCTTGGGGATTTGCAGCAGGAAATGGGGATGCCATATGAAGTACATATTGGCAGTTTTGTATTGCCCTGAAAAGTAACAAAAGAAGACTGAATGTAAACCTAGCTGCAAGTGGCCCTAGGAGAACTTGGGAGGGCCAAGTGGAGAATAGGGAGGTGAAAAGCTGCAAGAGACCCTATATAAAGTTTGAATCATGAGCACTCTCAGCATGATGAGGATAAGGTCAATGCATGAAGTACTGAAATGTTTAAAGTTGTTAAAAGATGTTTGTAACCATATGCTACAAGTCACTTAAAATTATGTATAAAGAAACCAAAAAACAAATTTAAGATGACCAATTTTGAATTCATGTGTGTTATTGATAAACTGTGTCTATCAAGTTTGAAACAGATTTAAATTAAAAGTTTTGCAAACACAGTATTAGACAAGTACAAGAGAAGAGTTCAATAATTGTATTTGCCAATTCTTTGAAGAGTTGGCAGTGTCACTAACATGTGTCTTCTCCTTATGTTTGAAAAGGTTACTTTTTTTGTCAAGTTCTGTAAAAGCACTCCCTCCCCAACTTGGGTGTGGGTGTGCTGCACGACCCTCAAAACCCTTACCTGAGGGTCCACAATAGGTTTTGCGGGTTGCGRGATAAGCCGTTTTTTGATGGCGGGATTCGGGATCTGGACAAAAATTTTGACAGGATGCGGGATCTTAAAATGCAAGCGGGATCGGGATTTTGCRTTTTTTTCGCTACGGGATCGGGATAACTCTAATAATTTGCTGCATGATACGTGATTTCTGCTTCCTAAGTTTACCTATTAATCATTAGACTGCCTGTGCATTTTATTACGAGATATAACCTCTCTGACCTTTTTGTCCTTACTGGACGATTACTGGACAAAAGCAGACACGTCAAGATAAAGGTATCTATATGCATGTGTAATAGTAAGGTCATATCAGGTATCAAAGCAACTTTTAACTAGTTATAATCRATCATTATTATCAGTCTTATCAAGAACTTTCAACGACTCCTTGAGATCTCAATTCAGAACCTTAAAGTTGTTTACAGTCAATACTCCTCCCTACCCCAGACAATTCTCCAGGGAATTTTTGTTTGTTAGTGAGACTGTAAATTTTGTGAAAGTGATTGTTTTTGACTGATTGATTGATTTTTTCAGCTTGCATTTGAATGACGGTTTGCAAGTAACTGGTTGGGTTCYGATAAGTTAGTACTCTACTGTCCATATACTAGTATGTCCCTTTTCAGGCCAATGGGAATTTTATTATACGAGGCTGCCATTAGAGTGCACGTCACATAAGCATGAAACAATTCTTAATATGTATTGCTAAATAAGATTTAGTTATCAACTAACTAAGAATTCAACAAAGCATAAACACAATGCCAATTATTTAAATTCCTTTGTAGCATTGTTCTCAATTCTTAGTTAGCTGATAACTAAATCTTATTTAGGACTACATAATTAAGAATTGTTTCATTCTTATGTGACTTGCACTCTAATAAATAAATTGATGATTTTACGAATAAAATGTTTATTCTGCCACTCCCAAAAAGGAATAATACTTTAAAGCTYAAGTTATTAAATTTGTCAACGAAATTTTATAACAGGAAGAAAAAAATTCTTACTTCAAATAGGTGCAATGAAAACGAAGTACATAACTTATAACGTATAGCTGAGTATAAAGAAAAAGGAAAAGACAGAAAAGCGAATGATAATTACCTTTCCCAACAGCGCTCATCTAGTAGTTCTGCCTCGGCGAGTTCGAGAGGATATTTTGCATTTGTGCACAGATTTTGCAATGGTTTAACCTTTTTTTCGTTATTCAAATTTCTAACAGTTCCTCGTACAACGTAATTGCCGCTTTCAAGAAGTTGCTTGACGACATGACAAGCGATATAACCTGAAGCGCCAGACACAAGAACTCGCTCGGGTGATTGTTCAGATGGGAAATTCGCTGGGCCATTCGGAGCTTCTTCTCTGTTTCCATTCATTTCTTCAAGATACGACAATATAGAAATCTAAAAATCCAAAGGCGCCCTTATAAGCACTCGGTTATTTGAAGGCAAAGGCTTCACAGAACGACCATAAAAGTCAACAAATTAAATACGAAGTTTCTGCAGTTTTTCTTTCCACTCTACTATACCMAGCATWGGTGGTTATACATTGACATCGACAGACGACAGGTGACGAATCAATTCGGGTCAAGATTTTCCTTGAATTAGTACAAAGCGGACCACTAGGAACAAGACAGTTTTTTTGCCATTAAAGATCGATGGGACAGACTTGGGAAGTTCCCTCATTTGCTCAATTTTGGATTTTTTTCCGATAAATGCTTCTATTGCTTGGTTCGGGTTGACAGATGTCATCCAGGTGGATAATTCTAGTCATGTGATCAATATGCGGGATACCTGCGGTTTTGTGGTGAAATTCGCAGCAAATTTCAATRCATAGATAAAAAGAACGATAATACAAAATTAAGGATATGGAAAAGAAAAGAAAACAGACCGGTCACCGATTATTTTTATTCTATTGGATTTTTAKACCTAGAAAATAATAGCTATTGTTCAATTTTATTGTTACAAAAGACAAAAAAGGAAGATTACAAAACGTAGTATACTTATTTTAGATACAATATTTAAATAATACAGAAGAAAAAACTTCAATGTAAACTGTATATTTAATTAATTTACAATGGAATAWGATTAATGAAGATACCTATAAAAGAGAAAAATAATTATTTTTAATACTGCTGGTACAGAAAAGGAAGGAGTAACCCCATTTTTTCATAATGATATTGACGTTTAGCATTTAAGTTCGTGTTAAAAAAAGTTTTTGATTTTTTGTTCAAAGATTGAAAGAAAAAGTTGGKTCTTAGTCAAGCCACACTTGCATTTTGCTAGGAGAAAAATATTATTTATCAGGTTCTTTTTATCCTCCCTTTCATACCGACTTCTCACTATGACGTCATATGACGTCAAAATGGTTTCATTTTCAATCTGCATGATGGTTTTTCATTTGAATGGCAACGAAACGGCCTGAAAAGACTGAAAACTGAATTTATTAACTGCTTAACTTAATTCGGAACAAATCCTCACACATTGCATCAACGGTTAGATTTTTTTGCGTTTGAAGGGTCACGAGCACCGTGTGAATAATGTCCAAGAATAATGTCCATTTTGCACATTTCCTTTACATGAATTTTGTATGTTAGCGACCAGCATACRATGGATTTCCCAAAAAATTACTACTTTTCAGCATTTCACAAATAAATGTTCCAAAATGGTGTCAAAAATCGACTCACCTCTGTGTTCTTTTTGAGACATTCAGGAAGACATAATACATAATGAGCTTGGGCTACCTGTGTTTTTAGTAAAGGTACGGTAATGCGAGCAGCAAAATCGTCCAACTTGTCTCGCAACATCGCTGCAAAACAAGTTGGAAAGCGATGTTACGCGTTTTACTACTGGCGAAGCAAATTGTCTCGCATCAAAATAATTTGCAGCAGGTTGAGCAAATCCTTCTTTTCGGATTGGRCAATGTAGTCAGCTGATTGTCGCGCGACGTCATTTTGGTGCGAGACAAGTTTTTGGCAACATCTTTGAGTTTTGTTGAAAAAAGTAGAACCACCTTCTACTTTCTGCAGCAAACTTTTTCAACTTGCAACAAAAAATTTTGCTGCGAAAAAAGTTGGTTCGCCGCTAGTAAAACGCGCAACATCGCTTTGCCACTTGTTTTGCAGCAAAAGTTGCCACAAAAGTTGGACGATTTTGCTGCTCGTATTTTAATACCGTACCTAATAATTAAGTAGTGCCGAAGGAATATCAATCTTGTCATTTAATCATGAGAAGGTTTGCTTTTAAATCATAACTTTATGGAAAATAAAAGCTACTCAATTTAGAAAATATTATGCACCAAAATAAAATAAAAAATAATTAAAAGATATATAAGCTTAAACATAATTTTAAGTAATTTTTTGTACTACTTGTAACCCTTACGGATTAAGTGCGTCGGCTCTAATAAATAAGTATGAAAACAAAAATTATAAAAATAGCGAATTTGAATATAAATGTTGAATTCAGAATACCTGCTAAAATGGATCTGCATAAAATCATCCGAGGGCTAATAAACCAATCAGCGCAGCGAATKTCTGCGGGTTCAAGATGGCTGATTGTCCTGTCATAACAAACAACGAAGAAGGAAAGTACAAGGTCTCAGATGATGACATACCTAAATAATTTCATTAACCAAACAGTGTGCTTCTTACTCGACTTCAGTCCATAGATATTTAGTTATAAAAAATGAATACATGCGGACCACAGCATTTATCGACAAAGACAACCGTCAGTCAGCCAAGTTTGGAACGTGACTCAGGACAGGGCACAAACGCAGCCAGAATGGAAGGCATTATTTTGTTTATACTGTATTGTCTTGATTGTGTCGTGTCGTTCTTCCTTGCAATTCTCTTCATTCCCATTTTGCTTTTGTTTCTTGGTGCGCTTAATTTTGGAAAATGGATTATTGTATTGTATATAAAAAAGTACAAAAACTGCATTCCATTGGATGAGGATGATGCTGTATGGCAGCAAGATACCCCAACAAATCGTCATATCATACATGCCCTGATGATCCTTGAAGGTACTCCAAATTTAGAGAAGATAAAAAACATCGTCTGCGAACGTATGGTGTTTAAAGTGAATGAAAATGGCGAGCGCGTCTGTCCAAGATTGACCCAAGTTATAACACAATGTTGTGGTCAGTTCGTATGGAAAGAAGAGGAAAACTTTAAAATTGAGCAGCATATTTCACTTTGGCAAGGGGTAGTTCCCAAAAATAAAGAAGAGCTTGAAAATGTCCTATCTGAACTAGCTCCTACTCCTCTACCCAACAGCCTTAGTCCATGGCATTTCCATATCATTCCAACAGAGTATGAGAGACCTTCTTACGCTTTTCTAATGCGTATTCATCACAGTATGGGTGATGGTGTTGGGTTGACTAGGGTATTTGTGAAGAATATGTACGACTCTCCACCACTAGGTGGAGAGCCCAGGAAATTCACTACCAAACAGAGGTTTTATATGTGGTGCAAGGCAATGTTCATGGGTCCCATGTTGGTGATAAATAAGATATTGACAACAGCAGATGAATCAGCTCTGCATGGCCCAGAGCTTTCTGGCGAAAAGGTTATTGTCTGGTCCGATGATGTTTGCCTTGATCTTGTTAAAGCTGTAAAAAACAAGACAAGAACGACTGTTAATGATGTGATGGTATCATGTCTAGCTGGGGCAATTCATGAGTACCTCCAGAATTATGGACCTTCTAAAATAGAGGACATGTGGGCATCTGTTCCTGTTGACATTCGAGCCAATAACAAGTCATTAAAAGCTTGTAATAAATTTGCATTGGTGTTTCTTCGGCTTCCCATCGTTGCCAGTGGATGTCTTGAAAGGTTATACAAGTCAAAGCAGCGAATGGATATAATCAAGACATCTGCCGAGCCACTTATAACTGCAACAACATGCAACATCCTCATGATGATTCCAGAGTTTATATCAAGGACTTTGATAGATTTTTTTTCAAGTAAAATGTCTGTTGTTTTGTCAAATATTCCAGGTCCTTCTGAACTGTTAAGCATTGGAGGGGATGTTGTATATGAAGGTTTATTCTTCCCTCCTGCTCGAGCAAACATGGGAGTTGGGTTATCAATTTTCAGCTATGGTGGTAAGATGAGAGTTGGTGTTATTACTGATACAAATGTTGTATCAAACCCACGTGAAATTACAAAGGGATTCATAAAGCACTTTAACATGCTTGTCAATACACTTGACATTGATAAAAACAAGAAAAATGAATAATAATCATTTCAAACTTCGAGAAATGAAGCAAACAGCTGTCGTATTTTATCTCTTAATCCTAAATTGGATAATATACAAACTGTGAATTTTTTCCTTTTGAAGATTTTCATTATTTACAGGTAACAAATTAATATTGAATATGTTGTGAGAAATTCACAATTTAGGTTTTTTGAAGTCAGCTGTTAGCTGTTTAATGATAAATATTATCAAGCTAASAATAAAATATATAAACACTTTCAGGAATAAACACAAGCAGGTGAAAGAAATTCTGATCGATTTAAAGGTTTATCAATGAAGTTGAAGGAAATGGATAAAAAAAGTGCAGAATATTAGATTATAAATTTTATTTATCTACACAGTGAATTAATGAAATTTTCATCTATATTAATAATGGATATAGAATGGTAAAAAAATACAAAACATTGTCATATTTGCTGTATTTTTTTAATTAATAGGAATATATAAAACAGAATGTAACTTTGATAAAATGCATAGAATGAAAGTTATTTGGAAAAACKTCTGGTTTCTTCTATTTAATGTTTCACAGTCACTCATGACAAATGTTATTATTMTTTCTAATGTGTGCTTATTAGCATAATAAAAATGAGAGCTGTGCATCTACACTTGGACACAAATTTGACTATGGCACACTCTAACATAATTTTCCAAAATAAAATGTGAAATATCTCTGTACATCATCCCTCCTGCCTGACCAACAYTTTTAAGTGTTGTAAATTTCATAACCCAAGTGCAAGGGTTGTACCAGGGCAACAATGTACGAGGGACCTGGGACTGTATGATGGAAGCTTGTTCCAATGTTGTGGTCAAATATAGCATTATTAGCTCAAAGCAAGCCAATAAGTAATTTATGAACAATATATATTATTGTTATCCCTGAGTATGCTTCCCACATAATACCCTAGATCTTGTCAGACTCCTACCACTGCCAGGTTTCCTCAATGACATTAGTTCTTTCTGGGTGAAAATTGTTTGAGAAAAAGTGATGGTAGTGTCCTYATAAGGTGAAAGTGTTTTTATGAGTTAGGTAAACAGTCTGTGAATGACATAGTCCTTATGGTATGTGAATGGTACTATTGCTAGAGAGTAAATAGTGAATGAGATGATATATAGGGAGGAGAGGAAAATAGATGGGTGAAAATGGATGGATAATTGAAGGGAAAATGACTCGCAGCATAATATTTTCAGGTATTTAAGCTACCCATTTAATCAATAACTAACACGACCTATATTCATCTGCAAGCTGAATGTCCTATCTAAGGAAGAATGTGATTACCAATGTTCTTGTATTGTTCAAAGGCCATAAAAAACTTAGATTATGTCAAGGGAAAATTATATAATCTGCAAGAAAAGTTGCCTAGTAAATCCAACAGTTCCTCAAATCTTCAATTCACCATTTGACAAATGTTTATGCAAATCTGCTATAAATCGCAAGATCTGCACAAAAGAGTCTGCCATTACACCAGAAACATGTTTCCCTCCAAAATGTGCGAACAAAATCTATCAAGGATACAAATATGTTCCATGGGCATAATCTTGCAAAATTTGGTATGAATCCACGGTACAGTGCAAAAAATCCCTCTGTTCTTGTTGTCTATAGTATAGAAACAAGAAAATGCTAAATACAAAATAGCACAAATATAGCACAAAATAGGTTTATACTAAATGTATATGTAAGGAACTGAATTTGTAATTAATCCCCCTTCGGAATTCCGAAACCGATGACCCCCCCTCCCCTCTGGATTTCTGAAATGCCGCCCGTGGTATGGTACAGATATTTTCTGAAACTACCCAATAGCATAAAATAGGTTTATACTAAATGTATAAATTGTGAGGAACTGAATTTGTAATTAAAAATGTTTCATACAGTTCACATAATTATTTTAATACAACACTGGCATCAAAATCTGATGAAAGGCAATTCCAAATGGCAATTTAATGAGAAGCCTTTGCTAAGTACCTCATCTACTTGTAGTTTTGTATTKTTGAAGGATAAACAACCCAGTAGATTTATAGATTAAAAATATAGAATTATCTGGGATCAACAGCCTGTGAAAACATGTTTAGATTGTTGGTCTTACCATCATTATACAATGAGTGGCACTTTGATACAAATAAGGAGCATCTTTACTTTTTACTTTTACATTCTTTTGATTCATCATTCTTGTCTGAAGCAAAAAAGGAAATAAGAGTATTTATAAATGTTGTAGTTCAGGTTCAATATGATTTTGAACCAGTTCAATTTCTTCTGAACTGGTTCAGTTTATTTTGAACCAGTCCAATATAACTCAATCCAGTACATATCAGTTTAGGGTTAGGTTTAGGGTTCGGTTTAGGGTTAGGTTTAGGGTTAGGTCTTGGGTTAGGTTTAGGTTTAGGGTTAGGTTTAGGGTTGAGCCAGCATTATATAAAAATTGTCTTCATTAATAAATTTCAATTAAGATAAAAACAATTTGCAAACATTACTACCGACAAAATCCTTGATGGTATAATTGGTAGTACTGTGGACTATGAAGCAAGAGTTCAGTGGTTCAAACCCTGAAGATAAGTGTTATTCATAAATTAAAAATATAGAATATATCAATATTTCTGTGGGGTATAGGGTAAGATAAAGTAGGAAATAGTAGAAGGTAGAAAATAAGATGATAGATAGAAAATGGGAGAGAATGAGATAAGATATACTTCTTTTAGTTATTTTAAGAATGCCAAAGCAAAACAAAAAAAAGGACCAGCACAAGAAGTCTTGTACTGGAACAAATTAGATTAAACTGATTCAAAAATATATTGAACCTGAACTACAACATAAATATAATATATTAAAGCATTCCCTGTTTTACCTTGGCTACATCAATAGGATTTGAAGCAATGGCTCCAGCTAAACCTGCAACCGTGCTTGCCCTGGGATGAAAAAAAAGTTGTTAAATCTATAGATCTCAATCACTACCATGAGCTCACTCAAATATATGACAAATTAAATTTATTTGTAATGATATTGGTTGAATATCTTTTCTTTGTCTCCTGGCAATTTAAGTCAAACGTAACTTAGGGATAAACCTTGTTATGAAAGAAAATAGAAAACCCAAGCTCTGCACTGAACTAAAACATATTGCTAGGKCTCTTGGTGGTTTCTGCAGGATGTGCTAGTTTGAAATTCTAAAAATCTAAGTTAACATATTTCCTGGAAATTAACTAATTTTTAGAAAATTTTTCAAGTACGTTTACAGACTTGTGTCTGCCTATGATAGACGCTCTACGATCAGACCTTGTGATTTATATGAATATCTTGGGACGTTACCTTCTCACTTACAAAAAATGTGTCCCAGGATGATCTCCCAATAGTTTTCTGTCTAAGATAAACTTTTTGGTGGCATCATAAACAGGAAGTTCTACCCCAGCTATGACAGCAGCACGTTGGGCTGTAGGACCTACACCCTGCAATAAAAACAACTCATTATTAAACCTATACCCCGAAACTCTAAGGATAAAAGTTGCATGTTACATAAATTTCATGCAAATGCTGCAACAGCAATAGCTTTTCTCAATGTACACAGTGAATTAACACACTATATTCATTACATAAATTTTTACCTGCTCAATAATGCTATGATATAATAATCGTATCTTACTCTATATAGTCCTTTTATTCCTTCTTCTGAAAACATCTTTTTGAAGGACTTCATCATGCCTTTGTTTGGAACACCAGTCTTATATTCTGCTTGCATGCGAATCTCATAATAACAAAGTCAAAAATAATCAACATTTTGTTTTATTTATTAATCTTCCACCAATTAAGATATGCAAAAATATCAAAAAAGTAAAAAATAATAATGCTACTAGTAGTAGCAAAGTGAGTGCTACAAAGTGAAAATATCATCACAAAATGCAAATTGTGGATTTTTCAAATTTTCTTTTTTGACTTTTTGAAAATGACAGTATATATATAACTATCATAATTCACTTATATGGCTTACYTTTAAAACATCTGTGGGGTTGCAAATTGCAGATGAAAGAGAACCAGCAATTATACCAGCAATGACATTTAAGTATAACTTTTCATCTGGAAAGCAAAATCATAGAGAAAAAAAACATACAAATAGTTATCTGGCAGCTGCAATCATTTTCTTTAAAACTTTTATTACCTTTGGGATCTTTTATCAGCATTCTCTTAATAGCATGGTAGAGTCCAAGTTTAAGGGATCCGTATGTTGCTTGACGGAGAAGTGCTGGAGCAACACTGCCGTACAATCATACATAATTATGAGAAATTGCACCACAAAAGGCATTTAATGATCAAGAAAAATTTCACCCATGCTTAATAAGGCACTACAGACCTAACCTAGAGTAAAAGGAACCCTATTTCTCTTAGTTACAAACTAAGGAAGGACGTATTTATCTCAGTATTTTTCCTGGTTTATTATGTGGCAAAATAGCCTTGACATCCATCAGTAAGGCATATCACAAGGCCATGAACTGATCCTGTTGGTGACATTGGACTACAGTTATCTGTTCTCTGCACCCAGCTGAACTCCCCTGAGGATACCCAATAAAGAAAAAACTGTACACACTCTGTCCACATCAATACCTTCCCATACTTTCAAGTAACCTTACAGTAGCTTGTGCTTTTCACTGTGTTTACTGACCTTGCAAATCAAGGCAAGTTAATAAGAAGACTTTCATCCATGAGTAATATGCAATATGGGGATCTTTAATTCTTTGATATAACTGTGAAACACTGAGTGTTACAGCATTAGAAAAGTGGACAAACAAAAATACAAACTGGTTTTGAAATTTGCAAGACAAACATGGTTGCATAATATGAGAGTTGATCAAATACAAATTGTAGTTATCCAACACACAAAAAATAGTACAAAATTCAAAATTACCTTAGTTTGAAATATGCACTTAATCCAAAAATAAAAATAATACAGAATTTGTATGAAATTGTTTTCTGCTGGTCTAACCATGACACTAAAAGGAAGTAATCMGTAAAAAACGTCTGATTTAAGGATCTTACAATACTGGAAGATTGGAAGATATTTTAATATATCCTACTTAGAATACTCTAGTCATACTTAAAACTCTCTTAAGAACTAAGATGAATTTGTCCAACGTTGTTTATCACGAGCAGTCATATAATACAGTATGTGAAAGGCAATCTCTCTACAAATCTATCTACAAATAATAATATGTGGTATTTATATAGCGCCGATATCCTCTGAGTTCAAAGGCGCTTSACATGTATAGATCATTTCACACGGACCGCTGTTTAAGGCGCAATTGGCAGCCACGCGGCTTACAATCATGAGGGGTTAGTAATTAGTATGGGTTAGTAGTAAGGCCTAGCCACACMCACCGGGAATCATTCCCTACTCTTATGCGAAYAGTGGTGTGGGTTCTTTAACGTCCCTCTAATACAGGTTAGTGAGTGAAGTGTAGAGAGACAGGACCTCCGATTTTACGTCGTTATCCGAGAGGACGAGAAGATCTTACCATTTGCAGATGGAGAAAGACAAAGGCAGCAACTTCTCCTCAATTATTTTAAGACCCTGAGTGTTGGTCCGGCCGGGGTTTGAACCTGTGACCTCCCGCACTAAAGTCCGATGCTCTACCTACTGAGCTAACCGGTCGGCGGTTTAAAATAAAGAGGTTACTCTGAAAAAAGATGACACAATGACTCAGAAAGCATTATAAATCACTTAGAATTCCTCTTGTATGCAAAACGTCCACTAAAGTGAACAAAGTTGTTAATYACTTGTTTTACAGCTTAAATATTGACGAAATGATGCAATGAATGGAATCACTCTTACATCCGATTGCCAAAACACAGCAGTCTCACATWAAAGATACAACTAACTTCATAACTTTATTTAGACTACTTCTATACCAGGTACCACAATACTTGCAACTTAAGATACCATTTCACTATAGACTAACGTACCTCAAGATGAAGGCATTAGTGTTATTTGTCAATACTACGAAGAGTTTAATAACAATGAAGAGTAAGATTTTACCTTTTGTCACTATTTATATTCAAGTCACACCAAAAGACAATTCACATGAAATACTGGCATTTACGTTTTTCTCAAAGAGAGACTCTCAAAAGGATTTATTTCTGATTTCAATGAGCTAATTAAAAATACCCTCCACATAAACAATTTCATATAAATATAAAATATATTTTTTATAGGGCAAATGTAGAGGGTGAAGGCATTGCCATTTTATAATGAACTAGACGCTCTTGGAGCGTGAAGTCGGACTAGCTGTTTTTGAAACTAATTGAGAAAGACAGGATATTACATAAAAATATAAAAATTAGATTAGATTAGATTAGGTAGGTAGACAAAATGTGATATCATGAAATMTAATACRTTGACCTCTCAGGCCAAGAAAATAAATACTTCACAAAGTAAATGATACCTATAAAATCATTAAAGTCGACTTTTTGTTATTGATAAAAAATGGTTCTTCTTGTTCTAATTTGAAATCTTCACCCACACAAGACTGCCTAATGCTGGAAAGGTCATTAATTTAGTTTCGTAAGCATATATACTACTCAAACCACCATGCGAACTGCACATGCACGTACTTATATGATGCCTAGACTGATGCATTCCGATGAGATCACAGATACCACATTTGTAAACGAATAGTTTTTTTATCATATAAAAGCGCAAGTAGCATATAACGTTTACTAAYGATATTCATACATCTGTATACGATTGAGTTTCTGGTCATATAATAACACAGCCAACCCATTAGTTAATTATTAAATTCTTAACTTCTGGTGGTCCAAACGCAAAATATGACACATAGATAGATTGACTAAAAGGTAAAACTCAAGTCAACCTAGACTTCGGCTAGTCTGACTAAAAATATATATCATACCCATTATAAAGTGCCATAACTCCCTCCTCCTTTGTTATTTTAAAAAAAGCATGAGCCATTCCACGATATCGAATTGACGTTTGCTTGGCATCAATGACTTGCCCTTGAAGCTGGAGCCTTGTCTTTGTTGTGTCAATTGGAAAAGTACCTATAAAGCAATAGCATTATTTATACTCTATTTCCATTTAGAAATGCTTTTTAATTCATTTTAACATAATTAATAACACATGCATTGATTGCATTGGTTGAAAATTGGTATGAAATATATTCCATATGCATAGAAACATCACTTTCAAGCAAAGAATTGTTGTTATTTTACAAAAGGTATTAAAAGATATTTTTTGTGTTTCTATTCTCTGTTATAAACATATTGAATTATGTACAGCTGTATTTATTATGTATTTTGTAGTTATAGACCTGTAACAGAGTTGTACTTCTAGTACTGAAGATAAACATATTGCCGAAAAACGTTTGACAAAGTCAAAATCTTTTACCTTCTTGACTATATAGACATACTTCTATTGMATGATTCATCATTTCCTGCCAGTTCCAATATCAATTCTATGCTAATCTCGTAAACTGTTTTTATAACTATGACAGAAACAGCTAAATCTTTTATTATGAAAATGGGGTCAGTACAGATCAGACTTTATCAATCCAGTTCAAACATGCTTTGATGCTTATGTGAAGTAGCCCCAATCTCATCCATTACACAGCCTATTCTTGTTGTATTCATTTTAGATTTTTTCGAAATCAATGTGCAAATTAGTCCAGGGAACATTTTCTTTGATAACCCTTTTTAATAATTATACACTTTTCAAAAGAAAAAAAAGACTGAATATCCTATTAAAAAGTCCCTTTTAATAGAAACCAGACAACATGTAACACTTTGCAGTCCAAAAGATATTTCCACTCTCCATTTTGAACCAATTTGGGGCAAATTCTCACTTTCTGATCGGATCCCACGCTCTAATTATGTGGAGTGACAAGCTGCATGACCATGTCACRGGTTGAAATTGTAGAATTTTTCATTGTTTTCCTCACCCAGGCTAGGCRACCACCCTCGACTGGCGCAATAATAACATGTGTTTAATTTACTTATAAAGCTTACACAAATTACATTTCCGGTTACTTTAATAGAGTACAAACTTTTAAAGCGTACTATTTAGTATCAAATACATTATAGTGTTAGTTATACCATAGAAAACAATAGAATTAGGAMAATAAAATCAACTTCAAGAATTTGAGGAATGGCATGGAAGCAGCATAATTGTTCAAAGATTTTATGCACTGAAATACGAACAACGTGTTTTGAACTATTTGGGACCATGTGTTGCGATTATCATTGTTTGGGTTTCCTGTGTTAACGTTCTCTTAAGCGACCATCTCTCGTGAGCGACCAATTTTTCCTGATCCCGAGGTGCTCTCTTACAAGAGAGTTGACTGTATTCTGTGCAAGATTGGCTCAATCCAAGCCTTACTCTACCTGAGTATACCACATAACATCTAAGATCTATAAAGCGGAGACTGGAGCATAAAAAAAATCAGGTAGCACGAGCAAACGCTCTAAGAACCGTCTTCATAGTTCACACTATATTTAATTTCCACGTCACTTCCGGATGTGCCTAGATGAAGTGGACTAAAAAACTGTAATTTGAACGAAAAAACCTAAGTTAACAAAGTGACACAAGTCACTTTTAACATTTACAATTTTCGAAAATCCGTAAAGACTGTAATAAGCTAATTATTAAAAACTTCTTTTACGAGAGGCTTCGGTTTTAAGCTTATCTTAGCGTTGAGAAACATAAATTATTTTTTGCTTTACCTAATTCTGCCGTCATTGATGCCAATCCTCCATAAATGAACGGCCGGTAATCCATAGCGATAAAACTTTAAGRCATGAAGTGATTGCAAGCCCTACCCACATTAGAAACAGCACATCTCATATTAATCATACAGTTCTACTGCAGAGTGAAAAGTAGTATTGCGGGCCAGTGGTTTCTTCGTTGACTTAAAACGAGGCTTCATTTCCATGGCAACTCGAACTGTGATTCAATACCGAATTTTGATTGGTTTGATCAAATTTTAGTGACCAATCAAATCACAGGAATTTTAACCCCGGTAAAATCGAACTTTATAAACCTGTTCCAAAAGCAAGCGAATACCACAAACCAGAGCGCTAATAGTATCAAGTTAAGGATTCAGAAGTTTTTTTAATTCAAATTTTACTAGATTGTACTGCATTTTCGCTTCATTTTGTTCGAATTGAATGATGGTGAAAGTTGCAGGCGCAAAACTAGGAGTTTCGCTATCTCAACAGAAGAAAAAGGTGATCTTCGTTATTCGTTTTAATCTTAAGTCTTAATTTTTAGATGACTTTACATTCGAACTTAAAAGCTTTGATTTAGATCAAACATCACATTTTCAGGTTAAAAGTACCGAGATTGGTCAAAATGTTGGTTCCTTTGGTAAAATATTCGGTGCAGAACAAGTGAAGAGGTCGGCGTCCGAACTTTCGCCACAAAAGAATGCTCCGTCAAGAAAGAGATCGGCATTTGGGGACATAACAAATGTAAGCGTTCTAGTATTCCATACTTTTTTGTATTTATTTTTGTTAACTTCTCCATATTATTAGAAATCAAAAAAGAATGATATTTTTTTAGGCTGTCCAAGTTTCACAAATTGGCAAAGCCAAGAAGACGAAAGAACGGAGTTCTAAGATTGTGAACAAATCTGCAGTTGTTCTGACATCAAAATCTCATTGTGCACGTGAAGAAGGCATTCGTAATAACATCCCCGATTTGGAGTTGCTTTCATCGTCTGACGAGTTATTGAGTTCACAAGAGTCTAGTGAATACGCTTCAAGGCAAGATTTAAAGCTTATTTGCCGAGAGTAAAAATAAAAACAAAATCTTTTTGTAACCAAAACCACTTCCGATGCCTGAGAACTGTTGATTCTGCTAAATAAAAGGCATTCGGAATATCTTATGCAAATATTTWAATAAACTCTGTTGACTATCAATTCCTATTTTTCCCTAGCCAAGAGCAAAAGGCCGAACAGGTGACAAATGACGCGGAAATGAAAGATTTGAGTTGTGGAATAAAATCAAATGAAGAACTTAAAGGGGRAAGTGGAAGGTATTTTATRAACCTTTTTATTGTAAAGAAAAAGACTTCATGGTAAATAMTTTGAACTAAGACGTTTTTGTTTTCTGCAGTCATTTCTTAGCAGAGGGTGAATGTAAACCATCGTCTAACAGAAATGCCAAAATAATTCCCTACAATGTCACAGATATTGATAAGGATGTGACAGACCACTTTATGGCTGCTGAATATGCATATGAAATTTTTCAAAATATGAAGGCTAGAGAGGTAGGTCTTTTCAGTTTATAAGCATCTCTGACATAAGGTTTCAAGCACTTTTTGTATGTTTGCTTATTATATTTGCTCTATCCAGGTATACATTTAATGTATAAGTAATTTACTTATTAATTGTGATATACATTTATATATATAGGAGCTATTTCCCTTGAAATCATATATGGACTCTCAGAAAGAACTATCAATAAGCATGAGAGCTATTTTAGTAGACTGGTTGGTTGAAGTGCAGGAGAGTTTTGAATTRTATCATGAAACGCTCTATGTTGGAGTGAAGATTCTTGACAACTTCCTGATGAAGTGTCCTGTTAAGAGAGAAGACTTGCAGTTAGTTGGTGCAGTAGCATTATTTATTGCATCAAAAGTTGAGGTATTATAAGTAATGATTGCTAATTAGCTATACATTGTTAATCTTATAATGTTTGTGACATTTTTAGTCATAAAACTTAGCTGGTTACAGCCCAGTATCATCCTCCTTTGCATAATGTTCCTGGTGTATTCACAAATTAACAGGCAACAAAAAGTTTTGAATTTGGCAGGAATAGGATCTAATATATTTTGTTCTGCTTAGTTGACTAGCCTGCGTGGCGGCTCTAGGGGAAGGGGAAGGGGGAAAACGGGAAGGGGAGGGGGTGGGGAGGCGGAGCGGAAAAAAAGGAGAGCCTGCCAGAACGAGCAGCTAAATCGTGTACCACCTACTAGAGGTCGTTGAACCTGAAATGGTTCGTTACTTGTCAATTTCATGTTATGTGTTTGTCACCTTCTTAATACCAGATTTATTTATAGTTCAAAGCACCTTTCGAAAAGCAAACATACTACAGTAGACTGTCTTGCAAATTMAACAAAGCAACACATGAATTTCGTTATGACATTTGATCTTCATCTTTCTATAGTATAAAGACTCTTTGAACTTTKGCTGAAAGGTTCGGCTGTACGTAGAATACACATTCACAGATGCTATTTTAAAAACATGTAGATACTTATGCTACTCTTTACAAAATGACAAAAATGAAAATCCGAATCTATATAGCCTAAGTATCCAACAGAGATACACACGACTTGTTGGACGATCAAGATCACAGTTTTCCCTCACTGACTTTTCAATCTAGCGATCAATAAATTCGACTTTGTAAACCATCTTTCGTGTTGTTTTGGTTTTCAGAGTTCTCGAAATAGCCTGGATATCGTTATTTTGACAGCGAATTGAAAACGTCAATCACAGCGCTGATTTAAACCAATCAGGAAGCGCGGCCTCTGGAGGCAGCGAGTACACGATTTAGCGGCTCATTCTGGCAGGCTCTCCTTTCTTCCGCTCCGCCTCCCCATCCCCTCCCCTTCCGTTTTCTCACTCCCTCCTCCCCTAGAGCCGCCACGCAGGATACTTAGTTGACTAACAAGTCTGATTTCTTCATTACGCTTACAATTTACAAGGATGCGCTATCAAAAAGAATGATTAGTACATATATTCTCAGTGAATTRATAGAAACACTGCTTGTATTAAATTTTGAGATATTTTTTATTGTTGATTATTCTTGATTCAATAATTTTAGCATTTTCTGTGATAAATTATTTGGTGGATGCATGTATTTCATGCAGTAGTAATATTAATGTCCTGCATTCTGACTTTATTTTGTTTTAAAGGAGAGGCATGCACCTTGCCTTGATGACTTCCTGTACATTTGTGATGATGCATATCAGCATTCTTCATTTGTTGCCATGGAGAGAAATATGCTCAAAGCTTTGGATTTTGAGCTCAATATCCCAATTCCTTACCGTTTTCTTAGGCGATATGCAAGGGTAATTATCTCTAGAAAAAATATTAAAGGACAGTTAGCTTATGAGRCACAATAACTTACATGACAATGATAAAAAGTCTACTCTGTAATGCCTATTGCCTGGAAGTTTATTGCAGAATGAGCTTGGAGGACACTGTGTCCAACCAAGGTCAGGTTTAATCAGTCAAAACATCTTGGTGTTGTTCCCTTCTAGCAGTCTCTCTTGTTGTAGTTTCTTCTGAGTAATCAAGATCATTCATTGGGAAAAACAAATCAATATTTGTTMTCGGAAGCTACAAAAAGAGGCTCTGCTAGCTGGGAAATCATGTAACTTGAAAAAATATGTGTTTGCACAAAGATTTGATGGGCCAAACTGCTTTTTGACTAGACATCGTACCTTGACTAACTCATACAGTCATTTCACTTTTAAATAGTGATTATTAATCTGAATTCTTTTGATATTTATTTTAGGCTGCTTTTGCAGATGTACAAACACTGACTCTTGCTCGATTCCTACTTGAGTCAACTCTCCATAACTATCAGTTCCTTGAATATAAACCATCCCTCTTAGCATCTGCATGTCTATACCTGGCTTTACAAATGCAAAAATGTGGTACTTGGACTTCAACATTAGTCTATTACACAGGCTATAAGTCTGAAGAACTGAAAGAGTGTGTACTAAAGCTAAATGCAATGAATTCTGAACCACCAAAGAAAAACCTCATGACTGTGCGGAATAAATATTCACACAAAGTTTTTCATGAGGTAGCACTGATCCCCCCTGTTGATGTGCTTTCTCTTGATTTCCAGTAAAATCCTTTTTATATCTAATTTTTAGTTGAAGAAATATTTTTTAAACAAAAATGTAAGCCCTATTATTCTTTAGTAATCATCTTTTTTTTATAGCAGAGTTGTTAGACCATGATTAATTATTAATAAACATTGTACATTAGAGTGGTTTTCTGTCAACCATAAAAAGAAAATAGACCAACTAGTTAGTAGCAATGAGTAATAGTCAATATAACTTTTAGACATATAAACTATAAACAAATAGCTAACAAACAACAGTTTGAATAAATTAAAAGTTTAGTTAGTGGTTGCTTGAACTGCAGACGAATGATGATGATGATGATGAGTTACCACAACAAAAACGACCATTAAAATAAAAAAAACTTGTTTTTGTGATGAGTATGTTTATACCTATATCAATCGGATACAAGCTATAGACTATTAGTATTGGTCTATTACAAACTGCTACTAACTATTAGACTAATTGTGCTTTCATGGTTGATGGAAAACCACTCTATAATTAACTTTAGGTTTCTGGACAATTTATTCTTGAAACTCAATATATTATATTGTTCATTATGAGCACAATTAACATGCAGAATAAGTCTTTTGATATATTACTGCTGSTCATAGGAATTACTAGTTTCAAAAATGGGTCTAAGATATGAAATGCTATATTAAACTTTAAAGTGGGGACTAGTATGAAACAATTAATTATTGTAAATAGTCAATTCTGTTAATTTGAATTTAAGCTGAACATTTTAGTATATAATGTTTTATTATTGAATAGTATAGAAAATTTTATTTTTAGTAATTTGTGTGTTGTGCATTTATGTAGAGGGATTTTCATCAAACGGAATATATAAACTCCTCTTTAATGTATAATGTGTCAAAACAGCACGTAGACTTATGAAAATTACCCTAATCATTTTCGATAGCCGGGAATTAATATTTTCGCGAACTTTGCAATAATATTTATTAGCATTAATAAAAAAAAGTTCGCTGAACTATTATTTCCGTAAAACAATAAATAAATTTCAAATTTACTAATACAGGAAAAGTTCGCGTAACGTGATTTCTCAACATTCGCGAAGTAGCGCTTTAGTACTATAAACCCTTTCTTCTAATACAGGAAAAGTTCGCGCAACCTCATTTCCCAACATTCGCGAAGTTAGCGCTTTGGTACTAWAAACCCCTTCTCTACTTATACAGGAAAAGYTCGCGTAACGTCATTTCGCGCAAAGCGCAACTTCGAGAATGTTGAGTTGCCTGTATACTACTTTGCTAAAAACATTCACTGATTCAACATTAAAAATTAAAATTCTAGTTTTACCGTAATATTCTGTTCGTAATAATGTCTGAAACGACAAACTAACCAATGTAAATCTTTTTAGACATTTTTTTAGCCTGCGTTACAACCGGTTTATTTCGCCAAAATAACCCTTTTGGCAAAAAAACCGGATGTAACGCAGGCTACATTTTTTTGTATTGAAGAATTGRTGGTGTACMTGTGTGTTGGGTTGAAAGCCGTGCTAGGTAACAGGTGAACGTGAACAGGTGGTACTTTATTCAAAGCATGATATTACGGTCTAGTAGTGGTTTGATCGTAGTTGTTGCCTTTCGTGTTTAGAAATGAAATAACGGTCAAGAATAAATTACAAGAGCGCATTAATTGCTRTCTACGTTAAAACATCAGGATAAAACGGGCCTAAACCTAAGTTAAAGTTTTATCGGGTTTTCAGAGTACCCATATTAACGAGCGCTCTGTAAGAATAAATAAGCTTAACCTTGCTTGTTTCGTGACKAAATTCGAAAATGCGCATTTCACAGAAAAGATTAGTTCTCGCGTTCACCATATTTTCATTGTTCATAGTATTTTTCTGTTGGATCCTCAGTGAAATGTTGTTCAAAGAAGACGTTAAAAAAACAGCAAGCTTTTCGGGTGGCATTTATAATCATAACTACACATCTCGTGAAGATGGGATATGGCCATCGTTTAAAAGACACTTCATCATGTCGAATGTTGTAGCAGAAAGGAACAACAATAACAGCAATTTTTCAGGAGTTGCTTGTGCTTCAGAACTTTACCTCACAACCTGTGGTAATCCAGGTATGGCAGCATTGATACTCATGACTTTAGATCACATCAGTTTATGTCATAATATTGGAGGAATGCCCACAATTTTCTGGCGAAACTGTTACACTGTATGCCCAAGAAATGCATCTGTTAATGCATGGGAATTATTCTTTGAGTCAGTTAACTTTAAGATAGAAGACCAAGTAAAGAAAGTTTTTTGTCTGGGCAATTATTTAGGCCCTGAAGCAGTCATTCAATCCCACTTGAACATCAAACGAAGTACTGACAAAAATGTTGAAAGAAAAAGTTTGTTAAATCTCAGCTTCCGTCATCGTGATGTTGAAGGTTTTGAAGGAATTATCTCTCGACGGGTAAGACAATATGCAAATAGCCTTATCAAGCAGTATATCAAAGTACGTCCAAATATCCAACAGATGGTCGATGTGTTTTTTTCCAAATATATGAAGGGCTACCATGTACTTGCTGTTCATATCAGAGGAACTGATCATGGGGATGAAATGGAGGATGGAAAGCTTCCTCAACTAATGACATGGATAAAGAATGCTGAATATCATTTTGAAAGTCTTCCATCACCTAAGAAAATATTTATTGCAAGTGACAACAGTGAGAGTATTAGAAAGTTTATTTCAGAGTTTGGAGACAAGGTATTGTTTCAGTGGGAGCACAGGTTCTTTATGAGTTCTTATGTGATTCCTTACATTAGATCACCTGCCAATCAGGGGCGGAGGAGCATTTTTGGTCCTGGGGGGCTAAGAAGATCAATTGATATTGTGGTCAAGAAATCCCTTTTTATTCATGAAGCTTTCCTTTTGCAGTAAATGTAACTGTTAATGAATTACATTATAGGAAAATACAACGAGCTTTTACCATGAAACAAAATTAAATTTTCTAAAAAATTCTGGCAGGGCTGCAACATCATCCAGTTCCGCTGCCCCTGCCAAAATATTTATAATTCAGCTATACAAACTTCGACATTCAACTTCAAGTTGACTGCAATGTAATAATATCTTGCTACAAATTTGGTCACAAGTTAAGCTGGCTTATTAAAGTCCCTTGAATATAACCACAAGTGCCAAAATATTTCTGGATTGTTATTCAGAGGGCTGTAATGAATTTRATGAAGAATTATAAAACTCAGCAATGCTGAAAAGCATGTTCTAATTTGTCTACCGCACTAAAGTTGGATGTACTTCATAATGATAAAACAGTCAATTTATGTGTTTTTATYATAGGTTATTTTTACCAAAGCTCACAGATCCTACAATTACGAGGGCATGGACTCGGTTCATTTATCAAACATTGATCACTATAAACTTGGAACAGAGGTTCTTGTGGATATTCTTCTTATGGCCAAATGCAGGCATTTCTTACATGCTGAATCAAGTGTTGCATCTTTGGTTGCTTACTTCAACCCTGATATATACACACATTTTTTGGACCACATACCAAAAGAAAAATATAAGGTACTTATTCTAGACTGAAATTCTAATTCTAATATCTATCTTGTGGAAACATATGATCAAACAAATTATTTTTCAAAAAAGAGAGGAGGGAGAGAGATTCATTTATGTAGATAAGAGGGAGTTATTTTTTGAACCCACCTTTGGGATCAATTATTGATCTATTACTAAGATGATACAAATAGCTTTAGCTAAAGTACATGACTAAAATGCAATTAGGAGCTATGGCAGGCTATTACATGCTCTACAGTTTGCAATAGGAAAATATGCATCAGGCAACAATAGTCCACAGGCCCTATAGACTAAAATATTACTGTTCTTAGCTCCAATGTTTCCATCCACCTTTGTTTCACCTTCCTTTTACTATAGCTAACATTTTTAATGTTGTTTTCATTGCATGCTCTGATTATAAGGGTAATTATTCTGTTTTTAGCAGCCTGACACAAGCTTCATGTTCTTTTTTCCTTCTTTTGAGAGCTCGATCTCTCTCTCTCTCCACGGCTGTCAATCATTTACCAGATACCATGCAAGAACTGGAATATCTTATATGTATTTGAGAGAAAGGTAGAGCTCTCAAACAAGTAAAGATGAAAAAAGTTTAAAAAAATTGGTGTTGGATTTTTATCCATTTGCAATAAAATGAGAGAAGTGTTATCATAGATTGTCACCTGCAGCTTAAATTCCTATACATCTAACTGATAAATTTGCAAACATGTTAATTTTGCAAATAAAATTGACAGAAAATTGTCAATAATAAGTGATTACAATGCTTTCTTTCATAATTTCTGTCTTACTATTGCAGGAAGCTGATAAAAAAGTTCCAAGAAAAAGCAATTCTAATATTAATCTACATGAAAGTGATAATACTTATTCTGAAATGTTAGAATCTTATGAATGCTTCAAGGAGAACAAGGCATATAGTGTTTGTGAAAACATGGCAGAAGGAAAGTTTATTGATTTTGTAGATTGGTAACAATTATGGCCTTTTTGTTACAAAGAAATCAGAATTAGAAGCACTTGAGCCACTTGACTCTCAAAGCCTTAACTCTATTGTAGTCCTTAAACCGGGGGAGGGGGATGGGTGGACCCCGTTTTGGATAGGTACGTGCCACCAGCRGTCTAAATCCCTGACCCTGTTTAAGAYACTAAAAAGTGAAAATCCATACCCTGTTCAAGACAAATTGGAAAAATAAGGAATAGCTATCTGCGCCGCAACCATCAAAAGTGCAATTATACTGACATCCATCAAAGACAATAAGAAATTTTTGATAACACGTTAATCCCGGGACAGTGAAACGGTATTTCTACAGTATTTCTTATGAAAATATTACCCTGTCTAAGACACACAAAAAATTATACCGGTCTTCTATCTTAATTGTAGAGCCTGTTTAAGACAATTTCGGGTGAAATGTATACCCTTTTAAAGACAGCAAGGCCAAAACCATACCCTGGCCAGCGGCACGCCCCCGTATAGCAAATCTTTGGGGGTCCCCCGCCTCCCCTTCCCGGGTCCTTAAACTTTGAATTTGCGTAATGTATACCAGACTAAATTTCACATGCTGTTCCAGGCCTTAGTTGGCAGCAAATTAAGTGGTTCTTTATAATATATGACTCGGCTACCCCTGATACATCAAATTTGCATCCCTCACGCACATGTATACGTCCTGTATACGGAAATATAGGAGTAATCTATGCTGAAAACTTACGTTTTTGGATCTGTTTTTTTTTTAGATCTTTTTACTAGATGTTATTCTAATTATTATTTTAGGGTACCTGCAATTCACCATGGCCTAGAGAAAACGTGAAAAAAAACTTGAATACCTTTTATATACTATTATTTCAACTTGATCTGATAAATAGTAAGAGAGTTAGAGGACAGTTCTTGGTTCCTATACTTGCATGTCTTTGTTTCTTTTGTTGTCTTTTGTAATTTGGACTTGTTGTAGTGCATCAATGGCATGCTGATGTTTGTTATACAGCTATAACTTATTTTAAAATCCTGTGCAAAATGTGACTATCTATATATGGTATACAAAGATAAATATTTTTAAAGCTAGATTTCTTAATTTTTTTAGTAGATTGGTGTCCATAATAAGTGGGAAACTGCTATATACTCTTGACACATTAATAAAAGTTATAATTATTCTGTTTGTAATGATTCAATGCTGTATAATATACACTCATTTTCAAAAAAGCACTTAATGTCTTTTGGAGTCTTCCTAATATGAAAAGACAAAGATGGCACCCAATGAAATTAACAATAGATTGACAAAAGACATATAAATCTAGTATTATAATATTGAAATTTTCATCAAAATAAAAGTTACTGGTATTCGGCAGTGATTTCGAAAATAGTTGTATTACGCAGTAATCAATTATGCATGCGAATATAACTATATGGGGATGACTCACGCACAGGAATACGGTATATGAGGGAATGTATATTCGAAGGGCAGGATAACCTGCTCGCAGCTGGTCATGCCGACAGGGTAGGGGACAGATTACAAATTGCCGACTTTCATGACCGAGTAGGAAACTGGGTACAAGTTTTAAAATTGCACAAATCGGTGTGTGACCTACATAATCTGAAAGAGCAAATCTAATCAATAAAAAGGGAAAGTTTGGTGGAAATTWTTCAAAAATTACAGCCATTCAAAAACTCTCTTATTCAAGTGTACAGGTGGGGCCGAATGCTTTCCCCACAATCTGTATATTCCTTTGTAAATTTTAACATTTTTGAACAGCTAAAATTTCTTAAATAGTCATCTGAACTAAACCAAACTTGGGGATATTATCAATTTTGATGTGCTCTTCAAGATGATACACGTAACATGGCGATTTTTGTAATATTAAAACTCGAACCCAGCCTCCTGCTCGGACATGAAAGCTGGCAACAGGGAGGATACATGAATGCAAATGCATTGTCAAATGTGCCAGTATAATTTACCATATAAACTTATCTGTAAAATCCCTAGCGAGGTAAGTATGGAAATCCACATTTACTGACTGTTAATGAGCCACCATACCACCATACATGTACATATGAATATGAAGTGCTGTTGTGTTGTTGCTGTTTGGCTTATATCGCGGGCTCTATCACGTGACTAACTCCCCGCCAAAAAGGAACAGAAGCGCGACTTTGCAAACACAGTTGTCGACTAAAGGGAGTGTTGTCATAAATAATTGGGGAATATCTTTATATTTCCGCAGTCTTTAACGTGAAGATCGTGAGGTTGGTTTCAAAGTAATAACTAGGTTTCAAGAGCTACTTACAAACAAAGCAGATTATAACTTATGTCAACCATTTTGGACTTCTAATTTTACTGAACCATTTTGTTGCTGCAGTTCAGATAAACGTGCCTGAGCTACACTTCCTACCGATCAATTTCACTAAACCAAGCTTATAATTGCGGATTCTTTTTGCTTTTTTTGTAATTCATCTTATTCTGCATAAGTGAATTAAGCTTGATAACTTGTGTGCAAGGGCAAAGCGATATGAAACAGAAAAAGCTTAACTATCAAATAAAGCCTGTTGGTTCATGAGACGTCAATCTCTTGTAGGGCTTCTATAGGTTGCGTGAACACTAAAGGCTTGTCAAGATTGTATTATCTACACAAGTAATGTGTCTTGTATAATGCCGTCAACTTAGTTCTTTATCTGATAAGTTAACTAAGCTTAAATGAAATACAGGTTGATTCTAGACACAAAACATTGTCAAGGTGAAACATACCCAGGAACCTAATAAGCCAAAAGTTGTAACTGGAGTTCTTAATTTAGGTAATGATCTCTTTTTGGTTTCCCATTTAGCAAAAGTGAGCACTCTCTGTGGTTTCTCTCTTAGCAAAAGTAAGCACATGCAAAAGCTATAGACTGGAATTTATGTACCTCCTCACTAGTAATGATAAGGAATTTGTGTTGAAAATGCTACTTACACTATTCCAAAAGTAAGTATTTTCAGCCGCATAAAAATGATGGGTAATGTCTAACATCACACTGATTATTCAAGGTAAAATGCCAGCTCTTAGGACAAAAGGTGGCATTGAAGAAGGTGAAACTCCAAGTGAGACATCTAGTGTGTCATCAGGAGTAACTCCTGATACAAAAACTAAAGAGGTATGATATTGAAATTTGGTCAAGATCAACATAGTTTGCACAGTATTGTTGGTATTGTTATTAAATATGAGATGGAATTGAACAGGTTTAGCATTTATGTTCCATGTGTTGTGTGTTGGTTTTGACTGTTATGCTGCATRACATATATAGAAAAGAATATTGTTGAGAAAGGTCAGAGTTCTGACCAGAATGTCTGCGTTTTTCATTAAAATCTTAAGCTAGTGACAAATATTTTTTATTCAGTTTTTATTATGACTCTTCCTAGCTGCAATTTTAAAATATATATTCTTGTACAGGCAATTTCTAAAAACAAAACAATGAAGTATGAAAACTAAATCTCATTTAGAGTGAAAGCAAAGACACAGTTCGCCGAAGTGGTAGAAAGTATAAGCAGAGAATTCTATTTGGACATGAAAAGAAAACTGATGTCACACCATCCCCAAGTACATCTAAGAAACAAAAACATCCAAGAAAAACTGTTGAAAAATCTGATAGTGACAATGAGGAAGAACATGAGAAAAGGTTAGATCTGTACTTTATTAGAAATTCTCAACACCAAACTCATCATTTCATCACTCAAACCAGAGTTAGAGATATTATATATTTATCATTACTATTATAGCTCAGAAGAACAATCAGGAAGCAGTGATAGCGAAGAAATTATTCTTCCAAGAGCACCTTCCAAAGGGAGAAAGAGCCCAGCAACTACTACTCCCAAGCGAAATCCTGTAAGCATGCATGTCTGTACCAATGATAATGATCAGTAATGAATATGGTCAGTATATGCAACTAGCATGATCTCAGTTGCAAAATATGCTCTTTTATTTTGAAAAGATAACCTGCCCCGTGAAATGCCTCTTTCAGATTTGTCGGAACRACCCTATATTCAATCTTCTTTAGGAAGTGTGTGACTTCTTGATGACACTAACTCTAGTAGTTAATAATGATAATAATGACTTTATATCCAATAATAAAGAGGCTCTTCAACTGTAATCCAAACTATACTAAATAAATATACTGATTAATAAATTACTTTAAGATTAGTAATTGAAAATAGAACTATTTACAATATGTATTACTTAATATGTATTACTAATATTATTATTATTATTATTAATATGTATTACTTGAAGTTTGCAAAAAGAGGTAGACCTACAGGAACTTCATCAAGAAAAAGGAAGGATAAAGCTTCAATACAAGATGATGATGCCCAGGGATCCTTATTTGACATTGTCAAAGCAGGAAAAGGTGCACTTAGGGTAAGCATAAGAATAAAATGATTATTGAGAAGACTGTTAGTTATTCATTGATGTCTTGACTGGGTTGTCTTGTTTATGACTGCTATTGGTAAGAATTAAAACAATGTAAATTAGCTACCAGTATATGTTGTATAATGTTAGGCATTAAGAGCATGTTATTAAGAAACACTTCAAGAAATTTACTGAACTGTTCCAGGCCTTAGTGGATGACTGGATTGAGAGCTACAATAAGAAGAAGGAGGCAGCCATGGTGGACATTATCCAGTTCTTTGTACAATGTTGTGGTTGTAAAGGTAAAACAAATAGTAACAAAAATTATTTTGCACTGCATTTTATTATAAATAAGACAGTTGAATCATTGTTCTATCTAAATCATTGTGTAACTGAAATAGYGTAGACTGGCAATATTGTTTTGTCCAGGAACTGTGACAAGGTCTATGCTGGATGAAGAAGAGAACGTAGATGCTGTTCGCCAACTTACTGAACAGTTTGACGAGGTGCAGTTCGAACTTGTGTTTTGGTGTAAATTATTTTTAAATCAGGGATGTCCACAAGCGTATTGTACACCCTTATTGACCTATCATTTGTAATCTTCTGAATAGTCCCAAAAGTATACTGTGCACCAATTATATTTCTTACAATTTATGTCCTCAAGAGACCATGGAGCATTCTTTGCCATTTATTAAGAAACTTTCAATGTTAACTCTCTAAAGGTACTTCCCCCAGGTATAATGTATATTCATTATCATCCTTTCTTTTTTAAGGTTACTGCTCCCAGGGCTCAAAATAACGGCCGGTCAACGGACAATGACCGGCCAAAATTCGCACTTGTCCGGTCAAACATTTTGGCCGGTCATCTTGACTGGTCAAGTCTATGTGAAATAAAAAAAATATCAAAATAACTACTGCAGCGGATTCAGGTAGTGTGTAACGTACCAATGATTTAAAAGGTCAATAGACGAAACATGTTTCATTGAAAGTCTTGGTCTTTTAGTGTGTCGAAAGGGATTGTTTAGAAAASAAAAACAAGTTCGCATGTACCATGAAGGATTCAGGTTGACTGTAAAAAACGAAGGATTCTTGGGACGTTGGAAATATAGCGTTGTCCAGCAAATATAACGAGTTTTCATTGAAAGAGTACTCAGATATTTGTCTAGTTTTATGATGAGTATCTGTCTGGTTTTCTGTTATAAACAGTTATGAACAGGCATGGGCTAATTTTTTAAAACGCTCAAAAATGAAAAGTTTTTTTCATTTTTGTCTGGTCAAAACTAGGACATGTCCGGTCAAAATTGTATTTGAACGGTCATCATGTCCAGTCACTGACTGGCCGTTATTTTGAGGCCTGGCTCCCCTTCGCTTGAGTTCACAAATTTTCAAGTTTAAAAAATTATTTAGTGTCTCGTATGATAAGAATCATAGCACATTATGTATTTGTGACCAATATAACGTACAAATTTGTTGAAAAAATAAACACAATTTTCAATTTAACTTTTTAAAGATTTGGACTCGATTTTTGATTATTAATATGTAATTAATTGCTTATTAAATATTGTTACAAACAAATGTCATAGATGTTTTGATTATTGTGTTAGCTTTAAAACGATATATAATATGCTTAKGTATGATTTAATGAAGCAAAGATATGATTTTTTTACAGTGGCACCCCATGAATGGGAGCAGTAACTTTAAGCCCCTGGGGATCAMCTTGAACATGCTATGTATTCATTTATCATCCCTTCAGTTCTAGGCCTTAAGGAACTCCAACAGGATTTGTGCTTAGACTGTTTTTTTTTTGTATTAATTTTTCAGGAAAGCCATGAGTATCCGCTCATCATGTCAGGGCCATTACACAAAAAGTTCAAGGTAATTACAGTGCTTATTGTGTATGCAAAATCAATGAATAAATAATAATTTTGCTCWCATCTTGTACCAGACAACCTCCTATCACAGCTCATAAAGGTTGATTATAATTTCTGTGTGAGGTTCAAGCAAAACATGACATATGAGACAAGAGAAGGATTATTATTACTATTACCATAATAATTACTATGAGCTTATTGACATTCTCTGTTAATTGCTTGCTTGAGCAGAAAKATATCAATTTTTAGATACTATATATTTCCAGTATACAAGATGAGAGCTGTTGGCCATGCATACTTGAGTAGATAGCCCATGCTAGCAGGCTCTTGTTTTTTTTCCTCTCTTTGCCAACCCCCTTCCCCTAGAGTTGCTCGATGCTCTATCCTGCATAATAATGGCGAAAATCAAGCAGGCAAGTTTAAGCAAGTAAATTGAGCAAAAATTTGAGCAAATTAACTCAGCAAAGGGAGGCCATTACGTGCTTCCTTAAATTTCAATTATTGTATTTAGGCATCATTAAAATTAATTGATAAGATAAAACTAACGATAGAAACCGACGTTTCATTGCCATCTTGCCATCATTGTCAAGGCAAAAAATTAAAGAATTTACATTAAGTTAGAATAGCTGAAAGAATAACAATAGTCCATTGTCCAAAACCAGTCATTCAAGTAAAACGTTTGAGCAAATTGAATGTTAAGCTTCGGTTTGTTCTTTTTAATCAGAAGCATTTTGTAGATCAGGCAGTCCATTTTTCCTTTACACTTCTTCAGCACTGTAAAGCTATTATTAAAGTTGTGGTGGGAACTAGYGGTAAACTAGTGTGAGCAGCGTCAGTGTTTCTAACACCGTAAAAAAGTATGTGAAATAACTTACCAAAAGCTTTCTCATTGAAGAATTGAACTA